GTGTTGAGAGTGGCGCCAGTTTTGTCGAAATATCAATGAATCGGTACACATAGCTTAAGTTTATTTTTATGCAGAATAAGGATGACAGATGGTAAGTGGATACTGTGACCCATAGACACCTATATTAATCGATGAAACAACTAATTAATTAATAATCACAAACATAATAGTGCTTATAAACTGCAGCATGGCTCTACCACGTTTAAAAATGTTACCACGTTCAAATAAAGTGTTTTCTGCGGGGCTTCCGCAAAAAAATTGAAAAAGGAGATATTGGATCAATAAATCGCTCTTAATAGTGTACACTTCTATCACCCGTGTCCAAATTTCACAATCTTTGTTGGCATCCATAGTGACTTGTAATCGCACGAGTGCACCGCGCGATAATCGCGCAACGAGCCGATTGAAATTGCCCCAATTGCGTTACACACGCGGCAGCGGCAGCTATGATATAAGGAGCAAGGAAGGTCTTGCGTACCCTGCTCGCATACGCACATCACAATTAAGAGTCATCCCTACTCCTACACCCCTGCGGCAAACAAGTGAGTAGCCGCCTTAACCCGCTTAGAAATTAGAGTGATCCATCTGAATCTGAAACGGGAGATCTGAATCTGAATGGGCAGCAGCATCTTCCTGATAATAACTCAAAATAATAAATAACCGTGGTTGCCAATCCAGTTGCCAATCCGCTTGCCAAGTGTGGCAACTATGGCAAAATCCCTTAAATTCTCTATGAACAAATCTACGACTGACACCTATGATCAGCAGTGGATTTTTATAGGCTGTAACGAAGGGAATAGATTCCGTAGCGTACACTTTTGCTCTTTTGCAGAGTGAGAGCGTCCATTCTCTTATTGTCTTCCTTTTAATTTTTATAAAATCTTAATAAACTATTCCAATATTATCCAGCCAGTAACAGACCATAATCTTCGATCCAAGATTATATATGTTAGGTGTAAGTGGCAGCTTATTCTTCTTTACAAATCATCAAATCAACGTAACTCTACGTTAGGTGATGTTGTAGCAAATCCAGCTCTCATCTCCAGTAATTTTGTAGAAACTATTTTCTATGTGAGTGAGAGAAGCGAGAGACAGACAGGCTGACGACTAAAAAGTTAGTTAAAGCTACAGCTTATATACGTCTTACTATTGGGCACAGGCTCCCTCTCATTTTTGAGATAATTTTAGGGCCAGAAAATGTCCGCCGTGTTGCCCCAACGTAGTCTGATGGGTAAGCTTATTCGATTTGTACGTGACGCCAATCCTTTAATAATATACTGGATGACCTTTTTTACCGTCTGGAAAAAAATAGAGTGTAACATGTGAACGGAGTAGAAGTTTATGGCAATGATATTTTACAGAAAATAAAAAAATGCAATTAAATAAATAAATAAATAAAAATCTATCGAAATTCAAATCATATCCAACCTACTTTACGAACGGCAATAAAACAATCAATTTGGAAGGCATCTTTGACCTTGACACTTCGCAGGGTCATAGACTCAAGTGCAAAGTAATTGTTCAAGAAAAATTCAAACGTTTAATTCAAAATTTTAGTTTTTATTTTTTTGTAAAATATCAGTGCCTAGTAGGCTTCTACTCCGTTCACATGTTACATATTTTTTTTTCGTATTCCGGTCCGAAGAACATAGAGAGCCATACAGAGTATAATCAGAGTCTGTGAGGCATTTCTTCTTAGTTCTTAGAGGTGGCGCCACATCAAGTTGCCTGCCGTCTCTCTCATCAGGTAGGCTGTAAGTTCGTTGTTGTCACTTTAGCTTAATTTAAAAAAAATGTTGACAAAATGTTTCGATAAAACACCTTTTAAATTAGCGAGTATCAAACGCAGTCACAAACACAATGCAATAAACAAACTATCGGACGGACGGATGATGACAAGTGACCATGGAGTAAATTTATAAATGTTTGTTAATTTTGGCAAGGCTAAATGGGTGACCCCCCACTAGCCGGAGTGACGACCTGGTAAGACATGCAGGAAGTCGATGGATGCAGGTGGCTCAGGACCGTGCACCGACTTGTGAAGGGCTGTAATGAAATGACGATGAAATGTGCCGGCACATTTAAGGCTTCAATCGAAAACTGGACCCTTAATAAACGATTCAAGAATCGCAAAGTATAGGTAAATATGCTTAAAGGGCGACTTAACATTAAATTCATACGCACAAAGATCAAGGATAGTGTTTACGTACATATTGTAGCATTAATAATATTGCTTGCAAATTACTCTCCACAAGGATAATCATATATTTACTTGCATACCGATATGGACGAGTCTTAACCTAGAGATAATAATAAACATAAAAGGACTGCATTCAACGGATATCCTATACTATTAAACGAGCAATTCTTGTATATATATATACATACATATATATATATATATATATATATATGTATATGTATATATATATATATATATATATATATATATATATATATATATATATAATCGGGATCTCGGAAACGGCTCCAACGATTTTCGTAAAATTTAGTGTCCAGAGATTTTCGGGGATAATAAATCGATCTAGCTAGGATTTATTTTTAGAAAATGTCTTTTTGTCCGTGTTTTTAGGCAATGAAAAACTGCTACAATATCGTTAGAATAAGATGGTAAATTTTGACGGATTTTTAGTGATTATAAATAGCTTAATTGGTATAATGGTCGGTCACAGAATCGTAAAACCACGGTTCGAGCCCAGACCGACCGACTGCCTATTTTAACTTTTTTTTTTCATGTTCCTTTCTTTTTTGAGAAAATCTATTTTGTCGAGCCCTTTTTTTAGTATTTAAAAAAAAACACGAAAATTTAAATTAAACAAATTGCACTCACGATTTTTTATTCAAATAATCAGTTCAGTTTTTTCTATTATGTCGCTAAGATCAAAAAATATTATTCGTATTTCATCAGTATGTAATTTGTATCTAAATATAATTTCCACAACACACGAATTAAAAAAAAAACCGAGCGAAAAAACCGAGCAAAGCTCGGTCAACCCGGTACTAATAACATTAATTATATTATAAGTATAATATTAATATAATGTCTGTTACTATATCCGTGTGGCAGTAGCGAAAGCGAATTCATCATTTGGAAAAAAAAATAAAAAATCTTACGGCTTCCGTTTGGATGTTGTTTATGCCATACGTAAAAAAAACCAGAAAATACCCAGACTCGACGACGAGCAGTAGCAAAAGAAATCAAGATGTCCGGTAGGTACTGCTATCGTCAATTCACCTGTCAAGCAAATTCTCCGCTGATGAAGAAGATAAATTAATTTATATATAGGTTACCTGCCCGATGGAGCTTTGCTCGGCGTTAGAAAAAGTATGTCAGTGATCAAGCCTACGTATATATAAACTATATTTAGATAACCTTGGAGAAATAAAATTGAGTAAAAACTTCCATCCAAATTCTTGTACCCGTTTCCGGGAAATCGGTTAGCAAATTTAAATGAATCCATGATGACAATTCATAATCGGTTCTAGTAATTATACAATTGAACAATTGTATATATATAAAATGGAATTTCTATTTATAAAACCTGCTCCCTATTGAGATTATAACTAAAATGCCAAAAACAGACAAAAAATAATATTATACTTATTATGTATTGAAAGTGTTACAGCACTAAAGAATATAATTAATTAAGAACAATCGCCCAACCCTTCCTGGTTTAGGGTTGCTCATCTAACTCCTTACTTTTAACATAATGACATTGCATTTGACGGACGGGTTGATATAGTGTTGTGCATACGTTCTGCTGTTTCAAATTTTATTTTAGGAGCTTGGATGTTTGTGATGCTGGCATGAAATGCGGCGTACTTGTAAAGAACGGCTCTGACAAGGAGATAGTATAATGAAAATCATTGAAGTAATATGTACTTACGTACTAGAACAGCTATTTCAAACAAAAAAAGTGCGCTACTCTGTGTTCGCGCGGTTTGTTTTCTTATCATAGAATAAACATAGGTAGAATGATCAGTAGGTAATAAACATTGTACTGTTAAATAGGTAAATTATATCGAGAACAATTTTTTAAATTTTGTCATATATTTTGTATATTATATTTGCTTATTTAATATAATATAATATCACAATTACATTTTAATGATATTTTTATCTCAATATTTTAAAAGGTATCTATCTCAAATATAAAAAAACATACTAAATGTATGTTTAACAAAACTTGTTAATATAACATTTAAATTACAAATATATTTATTAAAATTAAAATAAGAGCCGTTCATAAATACTGGGCACGCGAGAGTTAAAAATTGACGAATTTATTCCACTTTGGCTTTGATGTGGAAACCTAAAAATAAAATATAAGAATAATTAGCAGATTTAAATATAAAAAATTTGGCCTAATTATGATAACTCATATATGTTTCTACAAAAAAATGTGTATAATAATATATTCGTCCTATATTTAAGTACCCACAGAAATGTCGCATCTGAACAAACTAATTTCATAATCTATATTACGTGACACAAGATGGCGTCTTAGGAATAATTTGTTTTATTACTAATTTATAATACTTTTTTTATTGATTAAGTATCTTATTAACCAATGAAAAGTAATTCCTTGGTTTTTACTGACATTTCTTGAATTATTTGTGCAATATCTAAGTACGCACGACGGCATATTTTTATCACGAGATTTTTTTTGTATCAACACAACACGTGTCAACTCTACAAGCGCCTAGCGAGTGACTGATTAAAGTGCAGTGTATGCACCGCAGTTGAATGGAACATAGTAGCTGAATGTAGTGTCGCCTCTAGTACGTAGTACATATTAGCTCAATGATGAAAATGAATTATTCTTAGATATTTTTGTTGGCAGTTTTGATTCTGATTTACTATAAAAAATCCAATTCTACTTAGCTTTGTGCGCAGCCTTGATAATGTAAATTGAGGGATACCTACGTAATGTCCGTATAAAAACATCTTGATGACTTTATATTATATTTGCAGAGTCATGCCTGATCAAGAGGTGGAATACAACAAAGACCTGGTCGCTATCAAGGACTGGCTCAGTAAGCAGCCGCATCTACCACATGACGTCGGTGGGTATTTAAAAACATTAAATAAAAAAATGAAGAGTTCCATATAGAAATTTTAACAATATAATAAGGCGGTATAAAAATTAAAAACTTATCCCGTGTAATGTTATCCCGTGGACGTAGTCGTAACAGGTGATAATAGGAAAAATCACATGGTTTACGATATACGGCAACACTATCTCAAAATGCATTTATATTGTGAATGTCGATGGATGCAGGTGGCTCAGGACTTTAAATTAGACATTCAACATTGGAATTGTCATCGACTATAATAACCCAGTTAATGATAAAAATATGGTTGCAGTACGAAAGGATCGGCTCGACCTGAGCACTCTTACAAAATACCAGTGTAAAATACCAGCGTAATGCTGACATGTTTGCGTATGTTAAGTGATGAGAAACGGGGCATGCATGCATCTGCATTTCAATTTTTGATTCCTAACGGATGATAAATGTAGGTGTCGTAAGGTTAATAGCGGTATGGCGGCACTTGCTTCTAACAACGGGAGCGGCCACGCATAACACTAATATTAAGTGTATGTTTGTCATGCACGCTTTACCATTATAAGAAGCGGTCGCCTAAAACTTATGTTAAACTGCCTCTAGAGGCCTGAGACCCGAGCGCAGTACACTTACTCAAGCATATAATATAAGTAAAGTTAAAGTAGTGGCGGTGTAAGAATATCTACTACCCCATATCATCCCGTGGGTGTCGTATGAGGCGACAAAAGGGCACAAACCAAAAGACGGGCGGTAGCGTTTTCCTAATAACATCAAAGAAAATAAAAATCTATGGTTGCCATTTCCCGCCGAGCGCGGCAACTATGTAGCTAGTAATATGGGGGAGACCTGTGTTCAGCAGTGGGATTTTGATGGGCTGTTACAGTAACAGTAAAGTTACGAGGATACCTTGTAAATGAATCGTAGTATTGCAGGCGTGGCTTATCCCTTTGTCGGTGAAGCTCTCGGACAACTGAGGAAGAGTCAAAATGAAAGTGATGCAATTTTTTAATATTTCTATGGATGCAATGACTTCATATGTATTTATGAGATATGCATATAAATATATAACAACACTGTTAAGTAATGATTTCCTATATTTTGGCGAACACTACATATTGATTAAAACTACTATTACGGATTTTATCGAATTAAAAAATAATTTAAAATTAAATGCGATAAAATCCGTAAAAGTAGTTTTCATCACTTTGTTATGTATTAAAAATGGTTTATGAGAATTTAGATATGATTATTTACTATGCCTTAAAAATGGTTCCATGAAAGTATTCATAAAAATATTGTAGTATCATGAAAAATGTATCCAATTAGAGCCTACTTTGCAACTTTTCTTTTCTTTTATGAAAACTAAAGATAGTCAAAAATCATACACCAAAAATTTGATTCGTAAAAGCTATAAAACTTAAAAAAAATGTGAAATAGGAAAACCACCAAATTTTCGAGGTATCACCTTAAAGTTATATCATATATACTGGTCCCGCTTCTGACCACAAGCCTACATTTCATTCTAAGAGTTATGTCCGGCGCGTTTTCACAATATTTCTAAGACATACAGGTTTCCTTCACCACCGACCACGTGGTAAATTATCACTTAGTTTTGCAATAAAACATTTAATTGATGTTGGTTGGAATTGAACGTGAATCGCTTAGTCTAAGCTACAGCCGCTCTTATAGAAGCCATCATTTTAATAGTTTTTAGAATAAACAATTGCATGGCGTTTAAATATAATTACAAAAAAATACTTACTAAATATTCGAAAACCAACTTATTAAAATTATGTACTGTGTCTTACATTCTTTTCTATATTGTTTATTAGTTTCTTTTTAATTTTATTCCTGAATTTGCTACTTTTATTATATTTATTTTTTATATGTACGTGATAATGTACCTATTCCGTGTGTAAGGTATACATATTTATGTGCATATTGACTTAATAACTGTATAATAATAAATATCCTTAAGTTTAGTGTATGTCAAATTTTTATTGGCACCCACAGAAGAGCAGCGTCGAAGTGCTTTGTCAGTAACAAAACTACGCTGAGTTGGGTACCTTTTTAGTAACCATTTCTCAAATTTAAAAAAAGAAATTATGTATGTATTCTTATTTTTGTAAGCAAATTGCTAAAACGTGTTACTAAGTAAACTTATTTTCTTTCTTTCTTTCTATTCAATCATTTTAGTCATTATAGTAAGTCATTTCAAATACGTCAATAATTAAATTCTAAAATCTGAAACAAATATAATATCTCGCTATCGTCATTAGGCGTATAAAATGTGCTACTTCATCGTTATTATTTATTAAAGTGATATTACTAATAGTTGCTGTATATAGCGTAAATGAGACTCTAAAGCTTTGTATTACATATTATATTTGAACGGATAGACGAAACCTTAGAACAAGGATATTGCAGTTACACCAGCTGTAAGTTACTGCAGTTCGAGTGATTGCAACTTGCTTTTGAAATACTGCAGTTATTGCGTTTTTCTGTACGATACATTCAAATTCTGTAAACATTTCTACAGACTTTTAATGAGTTTTTAATGCTAACTTCTTGATACTATAAATGAATCTCCAGCCCATTCTATTATTCCAATTCATATTTTTACTCCTATCTGACTTAAAAGGCTTATCATTTAACATGATTTAGAAAATAACAGTCTAAACGTCATCCTCCCCGATAAGCTAGGCGTTATTTTAATGTCTGGCCTTCTCACATTTCTGAGTGTGTTTACGGTACAAGTTAGTGTGCATCATGCTGCACTAATATCTAAAGTAAACGCAGCTAAAGTTGCTTCGTCTCACTACCGAGACAATAAACATTTTTCCGAAGCAAAGGGAACCGAAAGCGGGGGGGGTGGACCCAGCCGGTGGGTTGGTGTTGAATTTACTTTAAACAAACTTAACGACGACACAACCAACGCCACAGAAAAGGAAAAAAGCGAAAGGCAGAAGAGAAGGAAGGACAATAAACACAGAAATTAAAATTGTAATTAACAATGAGGTCGGTTCTCGTGTTATGCAAATATTAAAGCAAGCGCTTATCCCCTGTGCTATCGCCGCGGCTTTTGAGTAAACTTTAAAAAGCAATACGAATGTAGAACTGTGCACAAATAATCATAGTTTTTATGTTTGATTATACGTGTTTAGGATATAAGATAACATCTTTGTGGAATCGGCTACCATCAGCGATATTTCTGGATCAATTTGACTTAAGTACTTTCAAAAAAAGAGACTACTCTCTTTTCAAAGGCTGACAACGCACCTGCAATTTCTCTGGTGTGTCACTTTCCATCAGATGAGCCGCATGCTCGTTTGCACCTATTTTAATAAAAAATAAATGAAAAAACATATAGACATATTAGTTAAAGATTGTGAGTTACCGGGTTTCTATACACCGCTATAAACAAGCAAACAAGCAGCGATAAACATTTTGCAGGTTTAAAAAATATTAATATATTTAATAGTAGGTATTGCAGTTGGATATCTAGCGATATTGTATTCGTATATCGATCGCTTGGCGCTGTCATCAGTGTGTTGGTAGGTTGTTGTGGTGATTGGTACCAACTGCACAGGTCTTGCATAGGAGCGATACCCTCTCCGCCCAACCCCCGGAGCCGTGGTAGCTTAGGAGAAGGAGTTATGGGTTTGATGGGATACATTATGTAACAAGCTACATTCCAATTAAAGCGTCAGCTCGCCTAGCTTTATATCTTGTCCGGTTGGAGTTCTTTTCTTTTCCTTCATTACCAAGTACATGACCACCACGGTGTATTTGGCGTATTCACGGCGAACTAAGAACAATTTCGTAAGATCAAAACAAAATTCATGAAGCAATTCCGTTGGTGGCATAATAACTTACAATCACATCCTTCTAAATTGCCCATTTGAGAGTAAATTGGTAGAATCGTGAAATAGAAACATGGTGTTGTAACATCACGTTGCATAAAAGTTAATTGTTAATAAAATCTAAAAGTCGACTTCAAATAATTAAAAAGTATAAAAGTCACATCTCGAAGCTCGTGTTTAAGATTATAGCAACTAGATTATACTATAAGGTCTGCGTGGAAGATCGGTTGGTACGTCGGGGGTAGGGAAGGGCAAGCAAAAAAATATATCGATATAAATATATCATATCAATATTTTTAAATAGTATCGATATATATATATATCGATATATCGTCGCATAATACTAGCAGCACGTGAATGCTTTTGTAGCTACTTTTGATGCTTAATGTTTTGTCGAATAATACAACATTTTAAAATATATCGCAATTGATACGAATTTGATACTCAAAAATAAATATTGATATTTCGATATATCGATATTTTTTACCCAAGCCTAGTCGGGCGACTCGTTATTAGTTATTTATATGCAATAAAATGTATTAGCATTTACCCGCGGAAAATCCGTCTCGGAATTACCGTTCATTGCGGCAACAACAAATTTGTCTATTCAATGTAGATTATAAACAATACTTACTGAAAAGCAACTTTTGTCTAATTTACCGCTCGGTTCAGAAAAACCTCTGTCTTGGGAAGTACCAGCAAGAAACCCAGCGGGACTATTTTTTTGAAAAAAAAAAAATAACAGTTTACAATCATATATGTTACCTACACAATTAACAGCACAAAACAAATTAGAAATAACTTAATGATTTCTTATATTTACGCGAACACTACACATTTAAATAATACTAGCTTCAAGATACCTGTTCATACTATGTAGATCGGAACAAAAGTTAAATTTTGATCTATGGTAACCGCGTTTAACAATGACATTTGGACGTTGATCATCTCAGCCCCCCCCCCCCGTGATCATGGGTGCTGTAAAGTGCTCGAAACGTCGGGTATTTAAAAGGTTAAATATACGCGATAAAATCCGTAAAATCTAGTATTATTTAAATAGAAATAGCTTGTCAGTTATAGACTCATTACCAGGGTTTAATATAATCTATAATTTCCTGGAGATTATAATAACCTATTTATATAAACTTTGTTTAATAAAGTTTTTGAACTATAAGGAGATCAAATTTTGCATATTATTATTTTTTTATTATTTATTTAAAATTAAAGCCCCAAATTTCAGATTTTGCAATAATTTTATTCTTTTTAGTTCTATTTTTATGGATACCCTACAAAACACAAGTGGTGGTACTTACTTACCTTAAAAAACCATTCAAGAATTTCAATTAATGTATACGTTATGTAAATTTATTTCATTAATTTCGACACAAGTATTCTAAAGTAGAATAATTAGTCAATCTTGTGTAAAGTGAACGTGTAGTGACGTTGTGAGAATATCCACTACCCTATATCGTCCGATGGGTGTCGTTGTAGGCGACAGAGGGAAACTGAAAAAGGAGATTAGGAGCAGCATCTTCCTAATAAAAACTCGAAATAATAAAAAAACCGCGGTTGCCACCCGCCTGCCATGCCTGACAACTATGGCCAAATCCCTCCTATGAGACAATATATGGGGGAGGCTTATGTTCAGCAGTGGACTTGTATAGACTGTAATGGATATATGGATTGATGATGTAGAGACTATCCTTAGAATTTCATAGTACGCGAGCAAGTTAATTCACGTGGGCATCAATGATTTTTATTTGTGTTGTGTGCCGTTTGAAGTGCTAATTAAACCACGTACTTAACTGTGAAAAATTTCTTGAGAATATCTGCATATATGAGAAACAAATAAAAAAAATTAAACCCTCACACGAATCAGAAATTCCTTCTCGACATCCTCACGCGAGTGATAGATGAAATAGAAATAGTATGTGCTAAGTTAAAAAAAATTAGATTTAATAGCTGACTATGGCATCGTTCGTAACATCCAACCTTCCAATATTGTATAGTGGCCTTGATCATTGATTGCCAATAAATATGGTACAGACACCACCAGTGTCGCTCTGTCTAGTGGTGAGTAACATCACAGATTAAAAATCCGATGAGATTTATTCTTGACGATCGGCTCTAGGTTTACCGTAAGCTAATTTCAGATGCTCTTTGGAAATAAAAAAGCTACGTGTACTTTTTATAGTTTAATAGCTGGCACCCGGCGCGTTGCAGCCGCAGAAAAATTTATTGTGGAAATATCGTTTTAAATTTGGAATTTGGAGCTATATTGTTTGATTAGGTATGATAATACCTACATTCATGGAAATTGAATAAATTTGTCAGTACAATACGCGTGCCACCCACTATATAGTTAACCTTTAACCACGGTAATATTATCTATACAGTATTGTAACTCGGCCGTATCTTTCAAATAAATGCCTACAGCAGTGCGGCACGTAAAGATGCGTTAGGGCTGCCTGCCTCCAGCATCTTTACATTTGCCTACTTTGTGTTTCCATTTAGTTTTATGATTGTAAATATACTTTTTATATAAACAAATAAAATAGGTACTTTGTGAATTGAATAGGAAGTGTTCGATAAAAATGCGTGTCGTTTTTTGATTGGTAGATTTAATTAAAATAAAAGCGGCCACGAGCGTGTCGGGCCACGCTCAGTGTAGGGTTCCGTAGTTTCCCGTCCGTCACAATAAGTGTTCCCACTTATGAGTTTAAAGGTGGGTATCCATTATGTTCGCGCTCCAGCAGCGCTCCGCGCTCCTGCAACTGCTCCCGGTAGTGGGTACTGCTGTTTCTATCCAAGTTCAAAATTATTTTCCTAGAAAGTCATTATAAAGTTCTACTTTTCGGATTTTTTTCATATTTTCTAAACTTATGGTTCAAAAGTTAGAGGGGGGGGGGGACACATTGTTTTTTAATTTTGGAGTGATTATTTCCGAATTTATTGACATTATCAAAAAATGATTTCAGTAAACCCCTATTCATTTTTAAATACCTTTCCAACAATATGTCACACGCTAGGGTTGAAATTAAAAAAAAAAATCACTGCCCATTTTACATATAGGGGGGCTACCCTAACAAAACATTTTTTCCAATTTTTATTTTACCACTTTGTCGGCGTGATTGATACACATATTGGTACCAAATTTCAGCTTTCTAGTGCTGACGGTCACAGAGATTAAGCGAGGACGGACAGACGGACAGACAGACATGGCGAAACTATAAGGGTTCCTAGTTGACTACGGAACCCTAAAAAAACCATGTTTATGTTTGAATAACAAATCGGTTAAATAAATTTGCGACCGAAAAATATTTGCGCCTCGGCTGAGACTTACGAAATGCTTTATTATTAGATTTTTAAATATAAAAAATCCGCTTTCTAATATAAAGCTAAAAATAATATAAATTAAAAATTGTTTTGGGAAACGTGGACAACGTGGAGAAAAGGAATATCTATTAATTGGTTATAGATACCTGCAGCTACTTTACAATTTATATGTTTGTTTTTAAATGAAGTTCAGATTTATTATTTCTTTATTTCTATTCTATTATTTATTTCCTCCATTTTTTTATATATTTCACAAAATCATGACTGCGGCACAGTCTCGACTGTCTGCATGCCGAGCGCATTCCGAGATCGAGGCGCGTAGGTATAGCTCTCGCTTCGTCCGTTTGTATGAAGTTGGAATACTGTATAGATAATATTACCGTGCTTTAACCTTCGCGCAAGTGCAGGCAATAAGTTGACAAAGTTTTCGCGCAATCTGATGAACGGTGTGGTAGCGCATAAAATATAAACAAACAAACTTTGATTTTTATATATTATATGGGTGACAAACGAGCACACAGTCCATCTGATGGTAAAAACATGATGTGGATTATAGACATCTAAATCTAACCTCGAATAAAAATAAAAGTGTAGCGTAAATACGTTGTCTCCTCTGAGGGCTAAGATATAATGCCTTGTTACCATTAAAAATAGGCCCCCGATCCGGTTATTTACACTTACCATACCAAAAAGCATTAAGTTACTATTTTACGCTGGTATTCTGTGACAGCCTGGTTCTTGCCCGGCCAACCCTCCTACTGCAACAATAATATCACAGTCTATAAATCCATATTTTTACTATACTGTGATAATATCGTTCGCGCCAAGCCTTTCCTACTGCAACAATAATATCGCAGCAGCGTACCTTGCTTTTCAAATTTTGAAGCGAGGTTTTTATAACAATAATTGTTTTTATGTTGCAGTCTTGTTTTTATAATCCGCCGCGTAGTTGAGGAGTATAATTTAAATATATATAATGGATGACCTTTATTACCTTCTGGAAAAAGTAAGGTGGAACATGTGAACGGAGTAGAAGCCTATGGCATTGAATTAAACGTTTGAAAAATTTATTTGAACAATTACTTTGCCCTTTGCATTTGAGCCCGTGACTGTGAAAGATGTCTACTAAATTTATTGTTTATTGCCGTTCGAAAAGGAGGGTGGATATATGATTTGAATTTCGATTGTTTTTAATTAATGGATTTATTTATTTAAAAAAATATTTTAATTTTTTGTAAAATATTGCATTCCTTCTACTCCGTTCACATGTTACACTCTATTAATTAATTAATTAAACAACTAAGATCACTATGGTCACACAGGTGTGTTTACTACTCTAAACTAAAGAAGTACTCCAAACAGCTTGCAATTATATAACCGTACTCTTTAAAACGGGTCGCAATAGTTCATGGGTGAATGTCTCAGTAGTACGCTAGTACGAATGGGTGGGCTCGCCTGGTGACATGTACACCGCATAATCTTGCTGTGTTTTTATAGCGAGTGTCGAGAACTGGGGACCTATTTCAAAGGTAATGGTGAAATCCATAGTCCATTGAAGTGATAAAGCAAAATGCAAATCATTTTGATTCTTAAGGGAAGATAGATGCAGGTGTCTAAGGGGCAATTTGATTTATGGAAATTATGCACGAAGGAAGCTCGCGGGCAGGTCAAAAACAAATATAAAGTTTTTTCTTCTTCTTTTCTAGAGGATGTCCTGCTACGACGTTTCTTCGCCAGTTGCGGCTACAGCTTGGAGCGCGCCAAGCGGACAATAGATTTCTTCTTCACGCTTAGGTCAACGGCCCCCGAATTATTCTGTAAGCGAGACCCCTGGTCGCCGGAGATAAGGCGTGTCTTCGAAATTACGTAAGTGTCAAACAGTAGAAAACTACTAGTATTATTATTAAATTGATTTATGTGCGCAATAAATATTGTCACGTTATATTGCTGAATGTCGGAATGACCTTATGACTTACAGCTGAGCGCGGAGTAGTTAGCGATTCTAGTATTATTTACATACATAGCGTCAAGTGTGTATTTCCTGAAGGGGTGAGAAGAAACCAAAGGGCAGTATGGATAGAATATGTGTCGAGTTAAAATAATGGGATTTAAAGCCGACTCTTTGGCATTGTTCGTAACGATCAGCCTTTAATCCTGTATTCAATATATCATTACGAGTTAAATAACCACGCTAAGCTAAAATAAAACGAGTGTGTTTATGACCACACACGACTGAAGTAAACTTCTTTAGCTCCATCTGTATATATATATATATATATATATATATATATATATATAATAATAAGTACTTTTATATATATATATACAGATTGGAGCTGAAGAAGTTTTACTTCAGTCGTGTGGTCATAAGCACACTCGTTTTTCTTTAGCTTAGCGTGGTTATTGTAGCTCGGAATGATATATGTATGTATAATATACATATATTAATTTTCTACAAATAATTACATTTATTATAGGCTTGCTTCGATTTTTTGTTATTATTCACCCGAAAATTCATAAAACATGAACATTAAAGTGAATTTACAATTTTATTTACTTTAAACGTAGAATATTTAATGTATTGAACAAATATCAAGTCATAAAATTGTTCAAAACGAAATAAAATTACGAAAAATAACTGGCTATAACAGAAAGAGAGAAAGAAAATTTACGTGCGCGCTGCTATCTCTTGCTTATATTCACCACTCAACTCCCGTTCGCCTCGCCCGATCACACTTTTTGTAACGCTTTCGTCACACGTTCGCCACTTTACTCCCCAATTCAAGCGTGCGTAAAGAAGTTTTACTTCAAAAACATGAGTTCCGATGGATAGAAAGTCTCCATTTTACGATATGCTTGACAAGTAACACAGTTGGCACATCGTTTTTTGTTTAAGTCCTATATAAACATGGAAGCTATAAGTCCCACACTAAAATGAAACCTTGGGGATATTTCACTAAATGCAACATATTCATTCCGGAGAAGAGAAGCAGCGCCAAAGGTTCAAAAACCCTGATATTGCATTTGCCAATCCGCGTGCTAAGCGTAACGACTATGCTAATCCTCTCTGCTAAGGGAGAGGTTCTTGACTGTAGAAAGTTTCCGAGCTGTTGAGGTAAGGTCATGATGTAAACATGTATAAGTCATTGTAGTTTTAATATCTTAAATCATTAAATGAAATTCTGCAGCGTTTTAGGGCTGCAGTTTCAGAGTACAGAAAAAATATTATGAGGCTTCAGTACAAATGGGTCGGCTTGACCGGGGAAAGACACGACACGTTTTCGCAGAATCCCAATGTGAAAGAACATCATGATGCTGCTGTATTTCGAATGGTGAGTGGAGAGTTCCGGGGACTCTATTGGTATCGAGGCATTCCATTTTTATGTTCAAGGGTGAAAACGTTACGTAACCAGGTAATCCAAGTGCCAAGCACGCAGTCATTAAGTGTTCAGAAATGGATTACATGAACGTGCTTTGAGAAGTATTTTAGGTGCCTGACACAAGATAAGATTTTTCGCCATGCTTTGTTCAAAAATTACAAAACACTCATTTTAAATGTATGCTTTGACCTCAATGAATATTTAATCTCTCTGTACTTAAGTTTTCCACTAAGAAGTTAAATTTAAATATTTACACTGCACTTGAAACGAAATATAAATAAATCTATTCTATCATCGCACGACCAAATTGTGGAACAGTTTTTCTTGGCCTATATGACTTTGTGGCCATCAAGTAAACTGCTTTAGCAACGCACCTGCAGTTCATCACGTGATGCAGATGTTCATCGCTCAGGATGACGGTGATCACATATCATCAGGTGAGCCATATGCTCGTTTACCTCCTCTCCTTAAAAACGATTTTGTAGGAAATGCTCAGTTGTGATACGCACAGTTCACCACAAACTTATAAGCTTGAGATAGAATCAAGTGCAGATAGCCAATTACATAATTTAAAAGGGCTTTAACGACCGGTTCACACCGGTGCTAAGGAGGTCATGCAGTTAAATGCCGCAACATTTCAATCAAGAAGTTCAATATATTTAAATATACATTATACATCTTTCTTTTTTAAATATACATTAAATTTATCTCTCTAAATATACATTAAATAAATATAATTTAAATAATCTGAGCTGATATTTTTATAAAAATCAAATTAACATTGACATACCTATATTACTAACGTATGTATATGTTTTATTAATATTTTTTGAAGTCTTATTGTCCACTATTTTGCTATCTATTTATTTTGGAAATAGTTTAAAAGATATTTGGCCGTCAAAGGGAGATCTCCCGACGATTAATATGTTATGTTCAAAAAAAGGCCAACGCTCTGTCCTCATACATTGTACGAGGTCGAAGCTTATTATAAAATTTATTCGTCAACTTTCATATCTCGATTTGGACTCGGTTGAAATTCGGTGCAAATAAATATCGTTGAGTGGCAGGGCCGCTACAAATGGAATAATATAATATCATTCATAAATCTCTCCCGAAAAAACTACTCCGACTGTTGGCTGTGTAGTCTTCAATTTAACTAACTTTTTCGAATTCGCACAATATATTATTACGTTGTTGGAGTCAAGCCAAATTATTAATTAGTAACTTAAATCACTTGCTCAATTCTGCTTAGTTCATACAAGTCCCTTTAAATAAAAGGTATGCTTACTTTAAACTTTTTTTTCAGGGATATGTTGCCTCTTCCGAACAAAACAAAAGAGAACTACAGAGTGTTTATATACCGCCTTAAAAACCCTGAGTTGGACTTATTTAACTTTATTGATGCGGTGAAGACTTTCTTCATGCTTGCCGATACTAGGCTAACAGAAGATGATGACATACCGTCCGGGGAGATACCAATTTTTGATTCCGCTAACGTCAGTCTTAAGTTTATGGGGAAGGTGAACATATCCGTGCTTAGGAAATATATGTTATACACACAGGTTAGTGTCTCTAAACGTTATTAAGTTTTTCTGGTCAAGTTCAATTATGAAATTATTCGGTTACTATAACTAAGGATGCTGAGCATATTTATAATTTTTACCCGACTGCACGACAGCAAAGACAGGGTTAACCTTTTCACGTGCATGTGTTTATGTATATGGAATTTTTTATACCCTCAAAGCATTCGATATTAAAAGTTAGATAGATTTTCATCAAAGTGGTAGGTGTGTTTCGATTCGTCTAAACCGTGCGATAATTTTATGCTAGATGTAGTCTAGTTGTTTTTATAAAAACATTGCGGCGGCCGTAAAATACAAAATGGCGGGTTTACGAAGTTGGGTTCTTGATTTTTCTAATTTACTTTCTTATATATATGCTACTGCAATATGGTACTGCAAATATATTTGCAGTACCATCGACCAATTGCTCCATAATCTCAAAAATGAATAATCCTAGAGCCTGAGCCTAGTGCGATGCACAATCATGGAAGTGAGAGGATTCTGTACACAGGATCTGTGGCACATATTTGAATTAACTTTAACTTTGCAAAAACTTAAAATACTTTCTTTGTCTTATTCAGGAAGCGATCCCAATTAGGTTGAAGCAAGTGCACATTATCAACGCACCCTCGTACATCGGCAAGATTTACGGCTTGTGCAAACCGTTCGTCAAATCGGATGTTGCGAAGTTGGTAAGAAAAAATTTCGTCAAAGTGAACGATAGTTAAACATAAGTGGCATTAGCCTAATGTTTCACCATTAGTATGTGTGCAAACTTTTAAAGCCGCGAGTTCCATTTGTATAATGTCGGTAACCACTTCTAATACAGCATTTAAAGATAATTTGAAGTAGTTTATGGTAAATTTAGTGATGTGAATAGCGTTCAGGTAAAACGTAAAAAACAAAGATATGTCGTTGGTCTGTGTATTTTGTAATGGTAGCAGGCGCCAAGACATGTTGACATGACCCTTTTATAATGATGACATTAATATTAATAGTATTATAATAGTACCGCGTATGGGCGGTGTGAAAATATCAACTACCCCATAACGTCGAATAAGTGTGTTAGAGGCGGCAGACGGAAACTGAAACAGGAGATCCTGATAACAACGCTGAAAAAAAATTGGTTGCTAAACTTACCAAGCGTGGCAACTATGGCTATGAAGAATATTTTTTTATAAACTTGATGGGCGATCGTAATAAGTTTGCAACATGTGAATAAGTTCCTAATATAATCTCTTATATTCTAACCTTGGATTACATTAAATTGTAATAGAATTAGAAACAACTATAAACAAAAATAACTGCAGTTTTTCTTTATTTTTTTATTCCAGTAATATCATATTCGTAAACTTGTTTGTTAATGATTTGTTTTGTTTTTATATCGTTTTAAACGCCACGACTGTAATGTTGTACAAATAAAAGGCTCTATGTGCAGGTAAAATTCCACGAGCCAAATTCCACGTCACTGTACAAAGACGTTCCGCAAGAACTGTTGCCCAACGAATATGGCGGCAAAGCTGGTACTGTGGATCAGATCAAGAGATACTGGATCAAACGGATCGAGGCCAAAAGGTAACAATTGGACAATAACACCTCTATGTTATTTTTTTAAAAATTATTATTTTTAGCCCTTTCTATTATGAATATTGCTGTACAGCCTCTGATATAGGTACACAAAATATATAAATATTATTATTGTTGCGCTCCTAATTTGACGTCAGGTACCTGGCACTAGCGCTATCTAGTGTCGGGAAAAAGAGCGAGGAGGCCTTCCTAGAAAATGTCATTCTTGACTTTCGACCAACAGCGCCATCTAGTATCGAACAGAAGAATTAAGCTTTCTAGAAGCCCCACACTCGAACTTTCTGCGTCTGGTCGGTCGGCGCCAGTATCTACGGGAATATTCTGGATGCTTCGGTGTAAAGTGTATTTAAACCCGCTGCATGCCACGATCGGGGATTGCGCCCTCCTTTCTGCCAAGGAGGGGCGCGTTCGTATACGGCTTAGAGATCTCTAGTTAGACCGTTAAGCCAGTCCCTAAAGGTGGGGTTTAGTGGGTAAAAGTCTCACATAACCACGCAGCCGGCTGCGTGGTATGCTATGAGCATTCCCCACCTCCCACCCCCGTTTTCCGGAGGGTTGCCCATATTTGACTCGGGCGCAAAAAAAAAACGATCGGGGCAGTATTGAATTGGCGATACGAGCGAAGCTTTCGGAGCGAAATAAAGCGAACTAAAGTGTTAAGTGTGATTAATTATAGTGTGATGTTTCTAATATAAGTGTAAATTTTGGTAATTCAATCGGCAGTTTTTATTGTCACGAACCTCAAGCTCGTAACAATTGGTGTCAGAAGTGGGATAAAATCATACCAATTTTACCTAAGGAGGGAACGGAGGGTGTCCGTACCCGAAGTCAACGCCAGCAGGAGACGGACAAAAGAAGATTTGGTGGGGCAACGCCGCAGACGTCGGAGGGCCAGCCGCCGGCTGCAGGCCCGTCAGTAGTTCCTACATCTGCAGCACCCGACTTAGGTGCTCTGATGGTGATGCTGCAGGAGCAGGCTCGCCGACGGGAGGAACAGGTCCGTCAGTTGAAAGAGCAACTGCAGAGCGGACAAGAGGAACAGGTCCGTCGTTTGGAAGAGCAGCTGCGGGGCGGACAAGAGGAACAGGCCCGTCGTTTGGAAGAGCAGCTGCGGGGCGGACAAGAGGAACAGGCCCGTCGTTTGGAAAAGCAGCTGCGGGGAGGACAAGAGGAACAGGCCCGTCGTTTGAAAGAGCAGCTGCGGGGCGGACAAGAGGAACAGGTCCGTCGGTTGGAAGAGCAGCTGCGGGGCGGACAAGAGGAACAGGCCCGTCGGTTGGAAGAGCAGATGCTCCTCATGAAGGACCTTCACGCCACCTTCGGAAAAGAGATAAGGGAGGTGAAAGATAAGGATGCTCAACATAATAACCGCCTGTCGGAAGCTGAAACTCGAATCGACCAAGTGACAATCGGGTTAACAACGTAATGGCTGACGTGAAGAAAACGCTGGGCGACCTAAAACTGGCGGATGGAATTACAGCTCCTGTAGTAGCTACAACACCTTCGCTACGTGGGTTCAAAGTGCCGCCGTTCGACGGGACTTCTTACTGGTCACCCTACAAAATCCAGTTCGAGGCTGTCATAGAGGCGAACGGCTGGAATAAAAACCAGGCCGTGATTGCTCTCACACTAGGCCTGCGCGACCAGGCCTTAATGGTTCTGGAAGCTCTCGGTAAGGAAGTGACTTATGAGCAGCTCCTTGAGGCATTGGAGGCGAGATATGGCGACGCTCACGTGGAACACGTCTTTCGTGCGCAGGTTAAAGATCGCTTAGGCTCTAGAGGTGGAGAAGCTGGTGCGAAAAGCATATCGGTCTGTACCTGCGCTCATTGAAGGGAACCTGGTGCAGAGATTCATCGACGGCATCCGCAATCTTGAAGTCAGAGCTGCTGTGAGGCTCAGGCACCACGAGATACTTAAGGACGCCTTGGCCCATGCATTGGAGGTGGAAGCCGTGCGGCAGGATCATCGTACCCATCGCGTCACGGAGGTTGCAGCAGCTACAGTTCGCGACCGCAGTAATGGATACAGCCCTAGGTGCTATGGCTGTGGAGAAAAGGGCCATCTTCGATCCAGCTGCCCTAAGCGACCTGTAGAAAAGGAAGGTGATCGATCTCGAGGTGGTAGTGTGGCTAACGGCACCGCCCAGCAGCGGCAGGATCATTGTTCCCCTCACGTTAGGGAGGTTGCAGCAGTTACGATTCGCGACCACAATAAAGGATACAGCCCTAGGTGCTATGGCTGTGGGGAAAGGGGCCATCTTCGATCCAGCTGCCCTAAGCAAACCCTGGAAAGGGAAGGTGAACGATCTCAGAAAGGAAGTGCGGCTAACAGCACCGCCCATCAGCAGCAGGAATACGAGTTTACTATCAGACACTGCTGCGGGAAATGGCGAGGCAACACAGGTGCATTTTCAAGAAGCCCTTATCTTGATGATGGCAAGAAGAGTACTAGGCAAGAGAGTAAGTAAATTGAATCCGTGAGGATGCTCAGGACGGACCACCTCAGCAACGAATGGAAGGATAGCTTACAACATGCACAGCAATAAGATCCGGACATCAAGCCGATTCTGGAATGGATGAAGGCCCGTGCTACCAAGCCAAGCAAGTGGAGCGACGTCTCAGAGATGAGTTCGACCACTAGAAGCTATTGGGCCCAATGGGACAGCTTGCTGATTCAGGATGGAGTCCTGTGCCGTAAATGGGCCAATGGTCGAGGAGACAGTTGTCGTTTGCAAATGGTTGTCTCTAAAGCTAAAGTGCCGAATGTTCTACAGCTGTACCATAATGGTTGTTCAGGAGTCCATCTGGGACTTAAACGAACTCTACTGAAGATCCGAGAACAGTTTTACTGGGTCCATTATCGTGACGATGTCGAGGATTGGTGTCGCACATGTACAAGTTGTGCGGCTGCGTAGGGACCTCAGACACGTAGTAGAGGAGCATCGAAATTGTACAATGTTGGTGCACCATGCGATAGGACAGCCTTTGAAATTGCGGAGCCGTTTCAGAAAGGCGCAAGAGGGACTTCTAAGATCGTCCATGTGGATCGCCTGGCGCGTTATTATGGGGCCGATAATGCTCGGGACGAGCATGTCTTAGGAGGGGGCAGTGTTGCGCGCCTAAGTTGACGTCAGGTACCTGGCACTAGCGCCATCTAGTGTCGGGGGAAAAAGCGAGGAGGGTTTCCTAGAAAATGTCAATCTTGACTTTCGACGAATAGCGCCATCTAGTATCGAACAGAAAAATTAAGCTTTCTAGAAGCCCCAAACTCGAACTTTCTGCGTCTGGTCGGTCGGCGCCCGTATCTACGGGAATATTCTGGATGTTTCGGTGTAAAAGTGTATTTAAACCCGCTTCATGCCACGATCGGGGCGGTATTGAATTGGCGATACGTGCGAAGCTTTCGGAGCGAAATAAAGCGAACTAAAGTGTTAAGTGTGATTAATTATAGTGTGATTTAAGTTTTAATTGGTGTTCTCTAATATAAGTTGTAAATTTTGGTAATTCAATCGGCAGTTTTTATTGTCACGAACCTCAAGCTCATAACATTATCTATGTCAGAACAAATACGAAATATAGGAAAATAAGAGCTGTGTTAGTTCAAACTTGCAATGAATGCAAAAAAATCCAGTCTTTGTAATTCATCGTCATATTTGACCATTTCTTATTTTTATATTCCAAATGTGAGTTAACTCATCTGTAGTAATAAACATTAATTAATCATTGATTGTGGTAAAGATTTAGGATATCATATTGGTTCCATAAGAGTCTAATGGCCACACAAACCTCATGTATTCCGACAGATGGCAATTTACAGACCGGTGACAGTTAGCATAATCAAACCGAACCTGGTCTTTTGATCGCAAATCCATCTGCAATACGCGACTATTTTTTTAATAGAATAATGGTGACAAAGAAGCCTCAGAATTTACTTATATCCACCTGATGTTAAGTAAGTGCTGAGGCCCATAGACATCTACATTCATTCTCAATTATCAAAAGACGCGTTGTCACCCCTGAGACTCTCTGCACTCACCATACGAATCACAACAGCATTAAGCTGTTATTGTGTGAGAGCGTGGTCCTTCCCCAGTCGAGTCGACCCTTTAGTGCTACAACAATAATATCGGTGCAGCGTGGCTGTACCACGTTAACATATTATAGTAAAACTTTCCTACAACGTAACCTATATTGAAAAGGCAATCTTAGGTCGAGGCCTATGTTCAGCAGTGGACTTTTATTAGGCTGCAACGGTAACAGTAACGGTAAATTGTTGATGTCAATAATATGCTGTGGCAATGAGTTGAGAGTTTTTTTTAATTTACCAAACGTAAGAAAGTATCGCGCAAAAGGTCAATGTACGCGTCGTAAATGTTTTTGAAATTCAGACACCTTCCTTTCATTTTGTGTCTGTTTCGCATTTAGAAATTTTCATCATTCATCATAGCATAGCATAGCAATCATAGCAGTCATTAAAAGCTAAGCAAGCACACTTATATTATGTCATGAAAACGTACAAGACTTTTAATATTATTTTACATAACATTTAAATAGGTACGTAATATTTATTACCATAGTAAAAAAAACTAAAACTAAAAACTTTAATTATCATGCAACCCTACTCCTCGCGGTATAGTGCGAAGAACGCTGGCTGCATTTCCTCCCTGAATGGTTATACTTAACCTTTGAGTGATAAAAGAACCAATCCTATTATTAGTTATATTTTGTTACTGATTGCCGCTTAATTAATTAATAAATAAAAATTATTAATTTACAAAAAATAATATTTCAGAGATTGGTTTCTGGCGAACGATAAGAATTGGGCCGTGGATGAAGCACTAATACCGTCCAACTGCAAGGATGACCGAGCGCATCAAGTACGAGATCTGCCGGGCTCCTTCCGCTCGTTGGCCCTAGACTAAAACTCACCTTTCTTGTTATGTAATTCCATTGTAAACTCAGTATAACGAACGTCCATTTAAGGAAAAATTTCCTAAAACGTAGAAATTATTTTACCTCATTACTTATACACTGATACACTCTACGTAGCATAACACCCATTCTGAACAACGAAACGATATTTCATCATTTAGAAAGCAATAAAAATGCTTTGAGCTTAAAATTATTTGCAGCCGCATTGCTCACGAGACTGAATTTAGTTGTTCGAATGAATCGACGTCCTACAAAAATGCTGCATTGTTTAGTTTTTTTGCTGCAAAAAGAGATCACATCAAATTTACAAAAACATGACGTTTCTATGGAGTGTAAAAAAAGGAGTACCAACTCCCATAGTAGAATAGTTGAAAAAGTGATCATCTGTAAGCAGTAAATAACAGTTCAAAAACTCTCCACAACAGCGCTGGAGTAGCTGCTGGGATAAAATGAACTTAGCAGTTCCGACGGTTTGAAGTGTGCTAAACTGCTCAGTAGCTCTAAAATCTAAAATAATTTTTTTAGTAAATATAACCTCGAAAAACTCGTCTATCCCACTAATATTTTTCGGTGCGTTCTTTAAAATTTACCCCGTAGCTATAGTGGCGCCACCCTTATTTAAAGGTTTTTATGGACACTTTTTAATACACAGTCTGTACTCCTTACTTCTACACTCCATAGACGTTACCTTTCATATGTAAGGTACTCCTAATGACGTTAGTACTATTTACTTCTATTTAATTTTAGAAATTACAATAATAACGGTCGTGTTGTTTCGGATTTGTTTACTACCACAGGGCGCTCACCCTCATATAATATGCGATTCGGTCAAGCGACTGATCCGAGTTCACAGAACACAAAATTACTGATCCGACTCCGAGTTTGTATCCAAGTTATCGCTATCACCGAGCGATAGCTTTGATAAAATAAAAGTGGCAAAGGCATAATATGGTCTATACAGCCATGGCTCTCGTGCATATATCGGATTGAGGTTTGAGATTATGTTTTCTCATTTATTTAATATATATTGTGAACTTTATTATAATATAGTTTAATAATAAAATTACATCACATTAAAATATTATACAATATTTTTGAGTATTAATATAATATCAAAAATTAATATTTTTCGACTTTCATCATATTGTTTTTTGTAATTTATATATTGCAGGTTTCCTAAAGGTCAGAGTTCAAATGATATATGGAAGAACTTTTGTAATAAAAAGCTTGCCTGGATTCCCACAAGAAACAGTGTCAATTGCTCTGATCATTTCCATACCTCTGGCTTTCAAGTATTGGCGAACAATAGAATGCGATTGGTCAAAGGCACTAAGCCAACTCTAATACCACATTGTGTTTGTTCCGAAAGCTTTTTGTTCCGGAAGCTTTTTGTTCCGGAAGCTTTTTTATATCATGGTAAAGGTAAATCAGCGTGCAGTCAACCTGATGGTAAGTAAACTGTGGCCCATGGACATTAACGATCTCAAGTCCAACAAACCGCTTCAGATTGTAAATGCGTCGTCAAACGAGCACACAGTCCACGTGATGGTAAGTGGATGCTGTGGCACATAAACTTCTACATTTAACCACGATTAAGAATCAAAATGCAGATGCGTTGTCACCATTGAGGACTAAGATGGAGTGCCTCAATTCCAGTAAAACAGGTCTCCGTTTCTTAAAACCCACCATATCAAATACAGCAGCATTAAGGTGCTATTTTACGCTGGTATTCTGTGAAAATGTGGTCCTACCTCGGTCGAGTCAACTCATGCTACAACCATAATAGCTGCATCGTGGCTCTACCGCGTATAAACGTATAAAAATTATATAAACATTGAGTTTATTTGTTAAATGATAGGTGATTATAGCAGTAATAAATAAAGTCCCATCTATATTATAATATCCACCTTTTTATACTTTTAAAACCTGATAAGAGATGATGATGTTACAGCCACGGCTGTAAGCAACTCGTCATGTAGTTGCGGCACTTCGTTTATGTTATGACACAGAATGTATCTACGTGTGTTAAATAAGATATGATGATAGATTATTACAGATTACAGATTAGATACAACACGTTTAAGTTCATTATAATTCAACTTTCCATTATTTCTATTTTTTGGGCACTTAGACTAATAACGAAATAAGATAAACTGCTGCTTACATTTCAAGTGACACGGAAATCATGCAAAAATCATGCTGAACTTATTGGAAGATCGTCTCAGAGCATAGTGTAAATGCTCTAAGAAAAAATACGCACTCATGCTTACAATGATAAGCATCTAATATCATTTGTCATTTGGAACCAATAAAAAGGTGTTGCGTCCAGTTGTAGAACTTTAAGGGCTGTTAAAGAAAAAAAGAAGAAAGACATGAGTGTGAGTGAGTGCGTGTCAAGAAGTTGAGCATGGTTGAGACGTCATTTTATATCTAATCGTCCATTCTTCAATCTTTGTTGTTGGACTAAAATATTCCACTGACTAAAAGGTAAAAGTTATTAAATAATAAATTGACTAATATCAAACATTAAATAATAGTAAAAAAATCATTTTTAATAACAAGCTTTTATTGAAATACTCTAAAATGAAGAAAATAAACTTCAAATTAAATCAGATTCGTCGTCATCCCCAAGGTCTAAAATACAAAGTTTGTTTTGTTTTTTTGTTTCTACAGCGGCTCTCGCTCTCGAATCATCCATATATGATTTTCTTTTATTTGTTACGCAATTACTTATCAAGATGTAATGCTTTTGCAAGAAGTATGATATAAGTTGTTTTCAAATTTGAAGCTTTGTATAAAATCTTCTTCGTATACAGAGCCGAAACTAAGTAGTAATGTACAGCGACTCAGTTAGCAGGAAGATTTTTAATACATATATAAGAAAACTAGATTACTTCAAAGTTTTATATGCTACTAGCTTGCCAGGCAGACGTTGTTTTGCCCTTTTCGACGACCCTTTGTCATGTCCTACTAAAAATCCTTAAATTAGCAAAAAAAATGTGGGTCACTCATGGGCAAAAAAACTATCCTATCTCTCAAGTTGGACCAAATTGCAAATTGTAAAAAAATGCAAATTTGATTAAAATCGGTTGAGTAGTTTAGGAGTCCATCGCGGACAAACAACGTGACACGTAATTTATATATATTAAGATTAACACCGTATATTCACGCTTGCTGTTGAGGCTACACTGAAGTACTTTTTAAATTGTTTGAACTCCTGTAAATCTACTTAAATGTCATTGTTGCGCAAAATCAAAATCATTAAAAAATTGAGTATACGGATATGAGATGTGCGACGACCAAAACACGAATCATAATATGTGGCTCGATAAAAAAAAAACAGAAAGATGACACTTACATAATAACTATTTAAATGTGTTACCGTTTACAGTCTACTCAAGTTCACTGCTAAACATATTTATGCTTTTCGCAAAGATTGCCTCATTATTTTTTAGGTTTATTTTCTAGACTTATTATTTTAAAAGGCTTATCATTTTTTAGGGAATGTTAAGAACACATTTTACATATTAGTTTGTATAAGTTCTCGCGGTATAAGTTTTACACTTTAAAAAAACTATTGATCTACTCCGGCTTCGCACGAGTGATATCTTGATTCAAAAACAGCGCCACCTACCGGGTCCAACTATGCCTATAACCTTCGCGAAAATGCAAGCGTTTATGTTGACAAACTTTTTTTGCAATCTGATGAACGGTATAGCAGCGCACAAAATACAAAAAAACAAATATTAATTTTTATATATAAGATATAAACATATTATCCTATACCTTAAAACGAGCAATTATTGTATATATATAATCGGAAACTAGGAAACTCGGAAACGGCTCCAACGATTTTTATAAAATTTAGTGTCCAGGGAGTTTCGGGGGCAATAAATCGATCTAGCTAGGATTTATTGTTAGAAAATGTCTTTTTGTCCGCGTTTTCAGACAATGAAAAACTGCTACAATATAAAAAGGTAAATTTTGAAATTGTGTTAATAATCATAATAGCTCAAGTGGATATCGAGCGGTCGCGAAATCGTAATGCCTTGGTTCGCGTCCTGTCTTTGGTGCGATTTTTTTTTCCTTTTTTTTCAATTTTCCTTCTTTTGTGAGAAAATCTATTATTTCCAGCACTTTTTTTAGTATTTTTTAAAAATACGAAAAAATTAATCAAACTAATTGCACTCATGATTTTTTATTTAAATAACCAGTTTTTTCTATTATGTCAATAAGATCAAAAAATATCATCAGTATGTAATTTGTATCTAAATGTAATTTCAAAAAAAACCGAGCAAAGCTCGGTCATCCGGGTACTTATTGTTAAAGAAATAAAGCTGTGACTCAAAAAGCTAAATTTTAAAAAATTATTTTATTTCTCTTTACAAAAAAATAAAAAAAAACAGGTGACTTGCATTTTCCTTTCGTTAGAAAAACCACTATTATTTAAATGTGCTTTTTTCTAACGAGGAGTCCGCCTGCGTACCTACTTACGTATAAACCTGTTACCTTTTTCTGCAGCTAAGCAACAGCTGCTGTGTTTTGTCTTATGGAGAAACAGTATAATTGCGTACATTATAATGCTCAATCTGCAATTCTTGATGGCTTCATTCGAAGTTGGTTGAATTGGTCAATGAGCAAGTATGCCATTTAAGATGAGTTGGAAAATTAGCTTACCTATTTTATTGAATAAAACTAAATTTACGGATTTTATCGCGTTTATTTCACTACTTTTACTTATTTTTAATTCCCGACGTTTCGGGTGCTTTACAGCAACCATGGTCACGGGGGGACTGAGATGTTTGACGTCCCAATGTCATAGTTAGTCCGGCTACCTTCAGTTTTTTGAATATTAATTTTTGGTCCGATTTACGCAAAACGAGCTTATAGTATCAGGAAGTCTTGCAGTGGTATGCTTAGGTTTGGGTTTAATTTTGTTAATTATAGGATCCCAAGCAGGTGGCAGCACCCATCCATCTTCTCTATTGAA